CCAATAATGTCTTTGAATGGTCTCCATGTCTCTTAAATAAAATGTCTAAGATCCTAAATATAGCATCTAGGTCTTTCTAAAACCAGACTACACTTCAATATCCCAAAATTTGTTTTTCTGTCGACATTTAAGGTCATTCATTAATCATCTCTCTATCCTTGTTTTTGTTGCCTCTTATCTCCATAATCCTTTCCTTCTCAAGTGAAAATATCTTCTGGACAGCTTGTTAAAGCAGATTCCTAAACTTTAGTTCCTTGCATTTGGAATTAGGAAGTGTATGGAGAAAATTAAAGACCGGCACTTCTATCGACCTTCTAGATGCTGCTGGTCCAGTGACTGTACTTTAGTAATAGCAATCTAAAAAATAACCCAATTGAGAAAATCGGTAAAGACTGTAGCAAAGAGGCTAAGTTAGGTACCATTGTTTTCAGCCAATATAGCATAATTTAAATGTGGTCACTATATGGTAATGCAAATATGTCTATACTGATCTTGTTTAGTACAGTGAGTACATTTGTATGTTAATTCAATTGTAATCAAACGGAGAGCACAGAGGCACCTTAACATAGTAGGAAGTTGTAATAAATAATTTCTTAACTGAATAGAAATATCACCAGTTTACATGGAGAGACTGACTGGAATTATACACAAATACATTTGCATTTGGTGGTGCCTTTCTTATGTGTGTGCACATGAGAGTTTTCAGCCTTGTTCAGGCTGCATCAGGAAATGGAATACACTGACCTCAGGAGATGAACCCGAGTAAAGGCAAGGAAGGGGTTAACAGTCTTGGGTCTAATTCTAAAAAAAAACACAGATGGCATAAGGGCAGGATGGAAGGAATATCACCTCGAAGCAGGACATGTGAAATAGGATGGGAGAGTGTAGATATTAAGAAATTTAGTGTGACTCAACAGTAATAAGTTACTGCTAGAGTGAGTAGATTGCAATGACCAAAGGCATAGACTCTGAGATAAACCCCATGACATTTTGACAGTTTAACAAATGTCCTGCCAAGGACCCAGCTGTCTTTCTTTCCTTGCCACAGAACTCCCATTTTTCCTAGAGTGGCAATCTTCATTAATGTTATGTATTGGCAACACATGAAGACTTTCCCAGGCATATGTGGAGATGGAATCAGTTTCCAGCTTCACAGCCTCTATGAGAGATTTGACTGGGACTGTTCTTGTGGTACATATGCAAGGCCAAGTTTCTTTCACACTTTTTTTTACAATAGTCCTTTACCAACATTACAAAACAAAACTACATCTTTGATCTACCCCAGTGGTCACAGTGTCCAAGAAACATTTATGCCAAATAAAATTACAAGTTAATATATTGGAGACTGATTTTATTCAGCACTAGGACTTGAACCCTCAGCCTCACGATTTCTAGCAAGCACCCTATCAATGAATTACATCCCCAACCCCTGAAATCCTTTTTTTAAGTCAAAGAATCCTCAAGAATATACTGTCCATTCAGTTAATATATTCATTTCCAATAAAAACTCCATAGATATGATTAATGATTACTTGTCAAAAGCTCAACAGATACATTGTTTATGTTATGTGGTTACTAATAAGTATATTTGTTATCAGTAATTATAGCTCTAACCCAATTTAAATAGACTTAGAATCATAGTGACTTGTTTTTAAAACAAGTCCATGTTTAAAACAAGTCCATGTTTAAAATAAATCCATGTAGATACAGTTGTTATGCAGAAGTATGGTAGATAGGTTAATAAAAGACTTTATGATATAAAGATGTATTAAGTTAGGATATAGTTCTTTGGGGAAGTGGAATGAGATATGATGTAAAGCAAAAAGTCATGTTTTAAAAATTTCATTTTTAAAGATAAGTTGTTAAGTGGATAATGGTAAATATAATATCACTGTGGTACTGGGTTCCCCTGAACACAAAAGAGTAACATGACACCTTTCAAATGTTAGTATTTACAATATTCTAGGGGTGAAAAATACATATCATCTTTAAAATGAAGCAGATATTTCATTTTATAAACTATTTTTAGAATTTTATAAACACAATGATCTCAATACTAAATGCAACAGAAGTTCATTTTGGAACCGTCCTCCTTGGCTTGGCAGGGGAGAGGGAAAGCACTGTTATCATCCCCCTATTGCAAGAAATCAGTAAAAGCCATAGTAGTTTCTCTTGGCCAAGAAACTGTTAGCCCTATTTGAATGATCTCCTGCAGAAATTCTCAATTAAATGAACTCCTTTCAAGTTTATCATCTTCTTCTCACATGGGCAAGTTGGGTTGGTGAACACTGAAACTCCCACGAAATTGATTTTCTGGTAGCAACTTGCTGACTTTCTTTTGAGAGTGGAGGAATTGTGAAAACCTACATTTTTCTCTTTAGGCTGTTAGCAAAATTATTCCCACAATGAAAGGTTCCATTTGTTATCTTTTTTTATTGTGATACCTTAGGAAATATGTTCCCAATTTAATTTTCTCTTGAGACAATCGAGTTCCAAGAAAATTGACTTCATTTTTAATTTCTATACAAAAGAATGTCAGATTAAAATCAGTGAATGTTAGAGCTGGGATTTGGACTTGAATGTTTTATTTTTCTCCCCATTATCCTACTGTTTCACCTTAAGTGATAGTTTTCAGGGTAGATGGAAAGTAAAAGGAAAGATATAAGGAAAGAAAAGGATTATGATATCCAGTGTTCATGGAAAAAGTGATGTCTAAATCAACTAAAATACAGTATTATCCAAAAACTTCAACAATATTCACGGTTTTATGAGGACCAGAAATATACTATGGGAAGAGGAACTCAGGGAAGTTTTAGCATTCAATGAATTTCCATCTTAGTTGCATGGAAAATGAACATAATTTACCTTTTTGTACAATAACTTTTATCTGCTCTTTTTCATAACACATTCCACTGGTATACTCACTCATATATTATTATTTAACTAAAAACACTGAAACTTTTTTAGGAAAAGGATTAAACACAAAAAGGAAATGTCTCTTGTCTGTTCTTCCCCTTTTCAACACTACTCCTTAAAAATAAGAACTAAATGAGCTCAGATAACTTGCTCAGTCTAACTTGAGCTAGTACACATCTATCTAAGGGGAGAAATTGTTTGAGTGGAAATTATTTCATTCAGATGCAATAAACGGACACTAACCTCTGAAAACACATTTTTAGCACTGACACCACTGTGGCCTGACTTATTATGAATCTATGGGTGAGTCCAGCTTTTCTTTTTTTTCATAATTTTATTGATAAACAG